TTTTTTTTTTTTTTTTTTTTTTTGGTACAAGAAAATAGGCAAAGCCTATATCACAGCTATGGCAAGATCCGTCGAGGGTAAAACACTCCGGTAATATCGTGTTGTAACCATAAACTCGCTCCCCGAGGAGGGCGGTCTATGCAACCCACTCGGTCCCTTTGCCGCCAAAGACGCCAAGAAGTCCGCCACAAAGTTAGGCTTCACGATAGCCATGGCTAAAAGATCCTTAATACCTTTCAAGATGCTCCCATGCGGCCCGTTAGTGTCATCCGTGATGTAAACGCAATAATGTTCTGGTTATCAACCTCTACCATGATTTTGCGGGCTCCAATGTCCCAAGCCAACTGCAACCCCTGAAATAAGCCCCATAATTCTGCTCCAATGATTGAACAAAACCCAATATTCATCACAAATCTACTAACCCAATTCCCATGATGATCGCGAATGACTCCACCAGCACTAGCCATCCCCGTTGAAGGTGCAAAGCTGCCATCCGTATTTACCTTGAGCTCATCCGCCGCCGGAAAAGACCAAGAGATCTAACGTTTTTTCACGTATACCACAGGCTCCTAATTTGTCGCTACCAGCCAAAGCACATCGAACCTTACGCGCATTGAAGAAAACCTCGCCAATTCGTTGAGCTAGGGTAGTGTCAGATCCCTCAAAGACCTTGAGATTCCACCATCGCCACAGACGCCACACCGTAAGACTGAACAAGGTCTCCCAGTTGTCCACGTTCCGAATCAGACGGCCAATCTGTTGTAGTGTCGAGTGCTCCGAGCGAATTATAAGCTGGAACCAATGGAGATGGATGAGGATTTTGAGTTTCCCCAAGCTCGAAGGTGCTCCGGTCTATTAGAGATGTATGGAAGGAGACAATTTCGGGAATTAGATGGTCTGTGGGAAATGGTCGGAAAGCTCGTTTCTGGTGGGATAGATGACTCAAACTTCTAGAACCATTAATAAAATTAGCGACGACCCTGATACCGAAATCGCTACTTCATGCAACGGTATCTGCTTATGTCACGTCGGATGGTGGTTAGAACTGGTCTATATTTCAAGGGCTGCTGCCGGTGACATGTCTCCTTCGAACCTCAGCTTTACCGCTGCCGCAGGAGAATGGTGGAGAAGATGGGTTGTACTGAGGATGGTCGGCGGATGGAAAATTTTCGACTAGGTCGCCCTATTCGGCTTTGGGTCAGCCTGGTGGCCGGGGTGCCGAGGGCATGTGGAAAATAATCTGGCAATGGGTTGGTCCTCAACGGGTTCGTCACTTCGTTTGGCTAGCCGCCCGCGATAGCCTGTTGACGAATGAAGTACGACACCTGCAACATCTAGCTCCACACGCGAGTTGCCCAGTATGTTCTGTGGCGATCGAAACAATGCTCCATGTGTCACGAGACTGTGTGGTGGCGAACGAAACTTGGAAAAAGTTGGTCCCCTGTAGCCAGTGGAGAGCTTTCTTCTCCTTGAGCCTTAGGTGTTGGCTTTGAATTTTCTATTTCTACATAAGCTTATAAGGTGATATAGTTGATGAAGAACACAAAATTAAATTTTAGTAGAAGATCATAATCATTTCATTCTTGATTTTTCATCGAGTTTATCATGGTGTTCGAAAACATGATGGTGCATACGATCTTGCGTATTAATATATTTAAAAAAAAAATGTGTATAAGATATTCCATATCAAGAAATTCCAGTTATTAAAATATTGTACGTGGCTTTATCCAATTTGTACACATTTTTTGAAAGAAAAAATTATTCAAAAAGATTGGAAGAATTAGAATATACAACAATTTGTTTCCTAAATTTGTATCCAATTTGAAAAGTTTTTAAATTAATTTTTACCTAAATTTGTTTTCATAAATAATTAACATACTTTTGGCATAAGAATTTCTAAATTTGTTAAAAAAAACAAAGAAATTCATAATTTGTCAAATCAATAAATAAATAAATAGTACAAAAAATGAGATTCAAATTTTGGCATAAGCATCTCCAAATTTGTTACAAAAAAAGTGAGATTCAAATTTTGCTATTAAAGATTCATATATATTTTTTTTATCAAAATTTCCACTAATATTAAGTTAACTCATTTATTTTTTGGTCAAAGTTATTAAAATTGATTTTACCAAAAACTTTTTATATTAGTATAGATTTATCGAGATATGATAGTTTAGAATTTATTTGTAATATAAATGATGAACTCATGTTACATGATAAATTACTATGAGCCATCACTTGGATTATTATCTATGAAAATTTTGGTCAAGTTTACGTTAATTATCTAACCAGGCATCGAAAATCAGATAGCGAATCCCATCGAATACGAAGTCTTGGATGTTAAGTCGACTAATTAATAAAATATTAAAATTTCGACGTCTGCAACATTCTTAATGAATTGGTGATTATTGTAGAAGTTGACCTAAAAATGTGATTGTGTTATGTCTAATTACAGTAAAATGGAAATGAAGCAATCTTTTTTAACAACTTTAAAATTTGATCAAAAGATTAATTGGATATATCAAATTAAACCATATTCAATCAATTATGAATTATAAATTAATTAAGGATTAGGAGAATTCGAACCTATCATTGTTAGTGAATCCCACAATTAGGGTGTAATTCATGCATGTTACACACACGGTAGTTAATTACTTAAAACTAATAATAAACATTAATCCGTTATTTTCCCCTACCTTAATCTTATTCAGAATATGGGCCAAGACACATAATTGGGCTCTATTTGGACATCAATGTACCAACTAGGCCCGCTATAAGGGTGGTGGGATCCCCTAAGACAGCGGATATAACGATCTGCAACGCAAGGCCTGCCACCTCACAGCACTTTTGGGCCTTCCCTTTGTATTTCTTATGATTATGGGCCAGCAGGGTGGACTTCAGACTGGGTAGCCCAGTCCCTGGTTTTCTGCCTGGCCCAGCCCACGCGCCGTAGTAGAGCTCGTGCCAGCTGTCGACCAACATCTCTTTCACGCACGCCACGTGTAGGTTGTATTTTTTGCACGACGATCTGTAGCTCCAGCTTCTCCCTTTCCTGCCGCACCTGATAATAACCCAAAGCTTCACGTTTTTCATTTCGTAAATTGCATTGTAATTTATTTTTTCATTTACGTTAGTGTAGACATAGTCAACTGACCCGACCCGACCCGACTCAACCCGTATGTTCCGGCCCAAGTAAGTAGGCAACAAGTTTATTTATCCTTGAACCGAAATTGGGCCGAATGCTTGGCGGTTCAGCGACCTTCGGTTCGGTTCGGTTCAAATTTACCGATTATGGATCAGACACGACATATTGGACAATTAAAAATAAAATAAAAAAATACTAAAAATAATTTAATCACATCTCAAAACAAAAAAACGAGACAATTCAATTCAATTTCAAATATTCATTCAAAAAAACTGAATTAATTTAAACCGCAAGATCATAATAATGGATCAAAAAAATAAATAAAAATAATAGTTAAAATAAATGCCTGTGGCATGGCGCGCTATTCTTCTTGTAGAGGTACATCTTAACTTCACCGTCGTCAAGCACCATCGGCAGCTTAGCGCAACACGGGTGGAGGTCGAACCCGCAGGACCGGCAGTGGTACACGAAACCCGAAACACCCTTCTCGCACGCGTTGCAATAACGGGACGTGGGGCCTGCGGGCCTGCACATGAATTGGAATGTGCACTTGGGGTAGAACGGGTGGGCCACCGAGGCGGAGGGTAGGGCGCAGTGCGTGTGGAGGTCGAAGTTGCACGAGCCGAACGAGCACCGGTAGCGGGACCCGAGCCCGGCCTCCCGGCACCCGTCGCACTTGAACGGGTCCTCCGAGTGCTCGAAAACGAGGAAGTGCTGAGGGTGGCTGAAGTGGCAGATCTCCGTGTACTTCATGGCCGCCCGGCCGGATGGTCAGCGGAGTTTTATTTTGTTTTTTTGGTGGTTCTGTGTGTGTGTTTGTTTCTTTTTCTTTTTCTTTTTTTTTTTTTTTGGTGTTTTGTGGTATTTGGTATGAGGTTTGTGTGTGTTTATTAAGGTTGATTTTGGGTCTTGAAGGTGAAGCAAAATGAGTATAATTTGTAGTTAGTGGTGGCTTTTTTTGGGGAAGGAGAATAAGGGGAATGAGATTTTTTTTTTTTTT